CTGCTGAATACACATACTTTACAGAGATGCTGTATGCGAAAACAATGTGAGTTTGGAAAATTGCACAGTATTTTTCTATTTTAGTATACCTCAACAATGGAATTATGATCAGTGGAAATGGCCATGACACCTCTCCTTTAAGCCAAAGGAAAATTACAACAGTTGTGGCCTTTATTATTTGTATCAGTATGGTAGGTAGTAGTATTAGTAGTAATATTGGTATTAGCACATGCAGCTTTGATATTTGTATCAGAAATATGGACACGCTGGATTATCCACTACGCAAAAGGAAGCTGGTTACTGATAAAACAATCAAACGTTGACACCATCAAGCCATAACCACTGCTAAACATTGCTTAAAAAGGGGCCCACTCTGACAGCCCACCACCCCACCCCCCAGTGTGAGATCCCAAAGGGGAGGAGAGCTGCACAGCTGTTGCCAAGGAGACCAGACAGAATCACAGCTGAGACAATGAGAGGGACACGGCTGCTTTTAAATTCCCTGTCAGTTTCTATGTGGGGCACTGGACAGCACAAACTGCAGACTATAGAAATGTTAGGCAACTTTCACAGTGATCATATGGGCTGAAATCTGGCTTTACGTCTTTGGGGATTGACTCCTGCTATAACTCCTAATTACTCTCCTTAGACAGTCTAATAAGAAGACAGACAGAGACTCCTTCCATTGATACACATTATAATTACATATTGTATGAATAAAACGTGTTATGGAATGGCATAACTAGGGCAATCATGACTGTTGCTTTATATTGATTTCTTATGTCTGCTGGGTGACACAGCAGCTCCATCAGGCCTACCATCCCCCCAACACACACACACACACATGCATGCATGCAGCCTCATTGCAGTCTGGGAGCATCCTGTGCAAATATTGATTTGCAGGGTTTTATCTGTGCGCTGCTCTCAAAGAAAAAACACATGGGGAGGTGCGCATGCTTTAGAAGTGAATACATCTGTGGTAAGGACAATAGAAGAAGCAGCAAATTGGTAATATAACATCCCTCTGCCAGCGGACAGGTGGAGCTCTCCAGGGTGCTGAATCTCCCCTCTGAAGTGCAAGACTAAACACAGCAGTGTCCCACAACATGTGAGGGGGAAACATGTCTCTCCTTCATATGCATTTTGCAAATGATTTTTGTTCATTTGCATGGGCTGCCCTTATGTACAGTGTGAGAGCATGCAATACGTTTTTTAGGAAATAAAAATGTTCCGTAGAAAGAGAAACATATATTAAACTGCATATGCAGTAAACTGACATGAATCAAACATGACTTAAATGAGGTCTGCTCCAGAATGGGGGGCTTAATTGCAGATGCTACAAAAGGCAGATAAGAGTAATAGCTGCCTTAAGAAGTGCAAGTCAGCATTATTAAGGCATCCATAAGGACACACTGCGAGCTCAGAATAAAACACATAATGAGAAGTAATACTATCGCACACATTTTCAGCATTAATAATGCAGATCTTAGATTTCATAAGAACATATCTCAGTACTCATTCTAATTGCTGTAATGTTTCAGAGTGTTACAATTAAAAAGCAACATCAACTTCCACTTTAGCTCAATCATAATAGTAGCCTCCAAGAACAAGGGGAGGATAAAATGTTCTTCTTTACACAAAATGTAACAGAACCCTGCTGGGCATGTTCATTTTTCGGTGTGTAGCATCCAAGTCACAGCAGTAGCTGTGAGGAAAGCCAGGCAGCCTTTTTATCTCCTCCATCCCTCTTTCTGCCCTTTAGTTACACTGAGAGTTCTAAAAATAGGGTTTGAGAATGTTTTCTGTCAACAGCAAAAAAGTAACACTTAAATAATTACCAAAAATAGCATTGTTTTTACATAAACAAACCAGTGTTATACACAATTCACATTTGCACAAGAAGTTAGTTGATTGATGTCTTTAGGGATTGTTGTAGGCACATACAGTCCAAACCAGGAAAGGGCAGTAAAGGTTAACTGAAAGTCAGCAATGTGCACAACACGATACTGTGTTGAACCACATTATTTATACCAGGGATTGGATTGTCATGGTTTAAATCTGCTTAGACATACTAATGCAAATATGATCTGCTCTATTGCAAACACAACAGCAGGACCATGGCATGTTTTCATATCCAGAGCTGTTCCCTATTATGTTTTGTTTCTCCATGCCTTATACATTTGTACTATTCTGGGATAATGTTTTTTAACATATCAAACAACTGAGGTTTATTAAATTCTGCCATTAGCATGACCTTGACTGTATCCATTTGGCCAAGGATCAGAGTCATCAAACTGAGCCACCTGCTAAACAGATTCACTCATAGAAACAGGACTGTGACTACTGAGAATATCATCAGAATTTGTCATCGTAATAAAAATTAATACTATTTCGTTAAACCTGCAGCAAATTAAATGATACAAGAAGTATGTAGCAGAATAATTGTCCTCCCCAGAATGACTGTCTCAGGACCAACAGCACAAGCGGGTCATTTACCAAAGATTAAGCACCCATGAAGACAGGCCTTTGAATGCCAATGGGTGCTGGTTTGGCAATCTGGAGTCACAACATGGCAAATAGCAAAAATAAATAACAGGGAAAGTAGAGCACAGAGGTGCACTCACAAGCATATAAAACAGCTTATTTGGAAAAAATGGAGGACATTGAAACTACTAAACTGAATAGGTAATAATGCCTGACAAATAGATGGTGAGATACAAATGCAGAATAGAAATAAAGTCAAAATGGCATGTTCTTTGTACATCTAACTTGGGTCTATTGCAACTTGGTGTCCATGAATGCTTTTCTAAAAAATCTGAATTCCTTAAATAGCTTACAGGATTTATGAACACAGAGTTGTTGGTTGATATGAAGATCCCAAGCTGTTCCCTCGACACACCATTACAGAACGGGGTAGATTATGCCTCAGCCATGTGCTCCATCATGCCGCCATGTGCATGAGGAGGCTGAGAGACCGAGCACTGCATGTATGGCCCTTCTCACACTCTACCTACAGTCCTGACATCACTGCTGCACCGCTCTGCCGCAGAGGCTGTTCCTTAGCAACCAGCTCAGGAAACCACATCACCATAGGAACCATCAGAGTAAAACAACTTAGTGTAGTGTGTGTTAAGGATAGTCATGTGGAGAGCAGGTGATAAAGTTCTTGTGTTTAGTTAAAGAGTGGATTTATTTGCAGCTACTTTGCTAAGTAAGCTCTACTGTATGTGCAGTTGCCACTTAGTTCTGTTTATATCAAACCATAAATATCCACATCCCCTGTAATCTTAAATATCTAGATGAATATTATTTAATTTGATGTAGCGGTACAATATGGTGAAACGAGACACTTGCTTAAGTGTGTAATTGTAAATAATTGCAACCGTCAAGAAAGTTCAACTGAATAATGGACATAGTTATTTTTATATAATCCAGGCAGCTTGGTATTTAGGTGAATCTGGTACTAACTCCCTAAGTGAATACCGGAACAATTCAATAGTGTGCTACTGTTAAGAAGGAATAAAAGCAGAGTCCTAGAAACCCATTTCTCGTAACAAATTTAGCAATTATTCCCAGTTGACTTTGACCCTAGTGGGCCCTCTCTCTCTCTTTCAGTGAGGTAGAAATTCATGAACAGAGGAATAGTTACATTTCTTCTATAAAACTCAAAGTGGGCTCACTGTGCTAGATAAACTCCAGATCTGACTTAAATGCATTGTGGTGGTGTAATTGTTCTATGTGGGATGCAGTACCACAAAAAGAATGTGGAAAACATTTAAACTAAAAACGAAGAAGAATACCTGTCTCCAGTGGTGTAGTGGTCGTTGGACCCGGGGGATCGCCGCCCCCCCACTTTTTTGGAGCCTCCACTCTTTTGAAGCATGATTTTTTTTTTATAATCTAATACATAGAAAATCATTGCCAGTGTTATCAGTTTCAAGTGTGTATTTGTTGTAATAATGACGAAAACATAATACATTTCACAGTAAGTATAATAAAGACGTAGCTCAAGTATTTATGCAACTTGATTTGAAGTGTGTGTGTGTGTGTGTGTGTGTGTGTGTGTGTGTGTGTGTGTGTGTGTGTGTGTGTGTGTGTGTGTGTGTGTGTGTGTGTGTGTGTGTGTGTGTGCGAGGGGCAGCACCGTGTGTGTGTAGGGTGACCAGGTCTCCCGCTTTGTGCAGGACTGCACACACAGCATTTTTATCATTTGTCCCACGTCCCTCAAATTGAGACTATATGTCCCGCATTTGAGTGACAGTCGTGCAGAAAGGCCTGCTCGGTTCGCTGATGGCCGGCATCGCCCTTTATTATTATATTTTTTAAACGGCGTCACGTAAGCTAACAGGCGACAGAGGTCCACAGAGGTCCACAGTGTACCACGAGCCTGTCCATAGTGTCTCCCCCCCTCCCCGCCCACCCAGTAAAAAGATCCCCACTATACCACTGCCTGTCTCCACAACAAGATCAATCCACTACACACTGTGATCAACAGACTGGTTAAGGTTATATCTCCTTTAACTTCTAGCTGACAAAAGCATAATTTCTTCACCACATGTGAGCAATTCAATTATCAGTGGGAGGAGAAATGTGTAATGTAATGGCACTCTCTTAGGTATAATGTAGAGCACTTAAGGTTGTTCCAGTTGCATTATTTAATGACTTTCAAAATGCAAACAATTTGTCTAAAAGCTTCAGTTAGAAATAAGCTTACTGTTAAACAAATAGCTAAATGGGCTGTATAACAGTTCACATTCTTTCAGTTTATGGAAATTAAGTATCTTTTTCAAAAATTAAGATAAACTATTGTTAAGCTTCACCATATTTTCCCTCTGAGTAAGGGGAGTCTATTTGATAGTTTTAAACCTGTTTTCAATATAAAAGTGGTTGTTGGTACAAGTTATAACGAAAACCCCAAACAAATACTCTATTAGAATAGTAGTCTAAAAAGAGCAAGTGAGGTTCACAGAATCCACTACAAATGATAATTTAACACTTACCATTTTGCCGTCAACAGTATATATCCTTTTGACGGATCCAGAGTCCAGCTGGATGGCATCTGTGATGTCAGTCATCACTTGCTCAAAGGAGTGTGCCGTCTTCTTGTTGAGCAGGATGCGTACAGCCTTGCGAGGCTTTACTCCGCTGCGGACGATGGTTACCAGTTTGGGCTTGATGAAGTCCTTGCTCTCCCTGGTTTCTGGGGCTCCAGCCTTCGCACTACCAAGAGAAGGAGGATCACGGAGGGACACAGCCGTCCTGGCACCATGTGACCAGTTGGGATTTACATTCTTTGTGTAGTCCAGCATCTTGTAGGGCTCTATGGATGCACAAACATAGCTCTCCCCTAAAGGAAATCAACACAGAGTAGATGGTTTTCTATTTCTCCCACAGACAAAAGTAATGGAACATGAAAGCAAAGCACATGAAAGATAAAGCAAAGATTACATTATAGTCTAACTGATTTATTTTGCAATATAACAGAGGAAGTTACACATTTTGGTAAAAGAAACATACATGTAAGAAACACTCACCCTCCGCCAGCTGGTCCATGCTGGTAATCTTTCCCATCCCATCAATAGTATATATGGTTCGAACCCCTTGTGGCAAGTTCACATTATCTGACAGAGCTCTTGTGAGGTCAGCCAGCAGTGCTTCTATAGACCTAAATCTGTCCTGAGAAATGGCATACACAATCCCTTTGAAGTAGCGGTCCCCATTGCGGTAGAAACGGATCTTCTTGGCCTTCTTTTCTGAGGTCAGGGCTTGCAGTGTCCTGGTTCTGTACAGGCTGCAGTGAGCGCTATGAGTGGGACTGGCGAGCCCATTCCCTCTTGAGCCCCTGCGGGTATTTCTCTGAGCCTTGTCCCGCTCATCGAAGTGCTCCAGCTCCATGACTGTACAGTGCTATTACACCATAAATAAAACAGGGAAAATGCTTACTATTTGAAGAATTACTTTAACTTGACCTCATGAAATACAGGTAGAAATGAGTATCCAAGTCAAACACTCCTAATACATGACATACAAGCTTTGCTGCTGCTCATCGCACACACATTATGAAGTAACATGTCACACCCATTTCATGCTCCATGGTGTGCCTTAAACCAATCTCAACGGCAATTCAAAAACATGCTATTACAACGGATAGTACAACATTAACAGTATAAGCCTGGCTAGGGTTTTTGGCTTAATATATTGTTAAAACAATAACAGATATATGAACACAACATATCATTTCTTGAATTGGTGCAATCGCTTACCTTTGAGGTTATGGCAGAAGGGAAAAAATCGTTTTGCTGTAGGCAGAATTTGTCTCAATGGATCATGTATTCATTTGATGCCTGAGAGGAACCACGCGTCCCTTTGTTGCCCCTGTGATGGTGCTCTGCCTGCCTGCCGTTTGTCTTGGAGCCGGTGTCCTCCACCCTCCCCTCATTGCAGTGATTTACATCGGCCCGCTCGCGTGTCATCAGCATTGCGCGTTCTCGTTTCTATAAGCGCGCACCCGCACAGAAACCGAGAAACCTCCATGTGTGATTAATTTTACGATGCGCGTTCATGTTGACCTGCATGCTTAACCTCATTCCTTCGTATTAATAAAACAAATCCACTTATTAACGATCACTAATTAGCCTGCATGTACTAAAAAACATATAAGTAGCTTTAAACTGCGTTTCGAGTCCTCCTTTCTGGTTGTCTGGCAGGTGTTTAGCATGTTTCAACATCATGCTGCAGAAGGCTAACCTTACTTTACCATAGTGCTAACTAGCAAACTTGCTATGGGTTAAAGTGACTAACAAATATAAGAAAGCACTGCTCTTACATTAAAAGTGAACTTACCATTTTCAGTATTATGTAGCGTTAGCTTTACATGCATGTATGATTCTGTTTTCTTCAAGTTTGTATCTTGTTGGTCGAACGCACTTATTGTAAATCGCTTTGGATAAAAGCGTCAGCTAAATGCAATGTAATGTAGTTAGTATTCAGTGTTTAGCTAAGCCAACATATTTCCTTAGCTGTAGCATAAACTGGTAGTATCAAATACTCAAAGCAGATTTTTCACACGGTTGATTCCAGTGCTAAAACAAAACGGATTCAAAATCCGCAGAAAAAGTGACCGAGTAGGGCAGCGTTTACATACTGGGGGTTACAGATTGAATACTGCACTACACATGTGTTTTGAGTGACCAACTCACACAGGTAGATGATGGTAATAATTAATTGGGCCAGTCACAACGAGCGCATGGATACAGTAAGTGTGATGCGGTTAAAGGACACATTTCACACAGGCTCTTATAAACATCACTTAAGAATGAGCAGAAGTCAATCTAATGTTTTTTTGCACGTGTTTTTGTATCAAAAGAAACGAGCAACAGCCGTCTTACTTTTATAAGGCCACATCTTGCATGACTGAATCTGTGACAATGGGTATGCTTTTATGGCAGCATTTTTGAATTTGTTCAACCTGCTGCAAACAATTACTTTAGTATATGGCTTTTGTCCAGCTGGCTTGCTAAAGGCAAATTACTTGTCCTCAAAAATCGGAAGGTTATTTTCAAGAAGTCCCAGTTTATCAGATTGCATAACAATCTTAAAACTATTGACAAACTAGTTTAGTTTGACTTTACATTTACAACTAGTAGCCTAGCCTCTTTGTAAATATGTTTTCAATCAGACAAAATGACAATTCAGGACCATAGCAGTAGGAGTCAAGGGCTGTAAAGATGTAAAGCCCCCTACCTGTTGTGTTTATGATATTATGAAAATGTACTTGACTAAGACCAGTTCACTACATATTTGTCTCCTTTACTTGTTTAAGTCAAATGTAAAGCAACAACAGATGTATATGTCACATGTCCAAAGATGATATTAAAGATGAGCCCAGCTAAAAGAAAGAGATCACCAGGCTTCTCTATCCTATATTAGGTCCTCTTGTTGCCTCATGTGGCCTGTTGGCCATTGTCGGTCAGTTAGAAACCACATTAAAGCTCACTGCAAGGAACATAGGGTGCCTGAACCACTAACTGTATTCTTCTTCTTCTTCTTTTACAGTGAGAATTTGTTAACATAGTGTAGCGACTCTGATAGGATGCTGAGGGTGTCACTCCCCCGTCTCTCTGCCAATCATAGAGCTGTACCGGGATACTGGTTGAGGGCGGGCCTGTGGTTGGGGGAGCAGACGGGGGAGGGCGGGAAGTGGTGAGGAAGTCTGGGTTATAAAGGTGTGTGTGTGTGAGAGCTTAGGAGAGTGTGAGGTTGAACCTGCAAGTGATATCTGTACCTGTGATCTTCAAAGAAAATAAGAGTTATTAAAGCCTAATAACTAGAAGCCTGTTTCCGACTCCATCTGTGAACGTTACAATAGTATTTCATTTCAGATAATGTCTCAAGAATATGCATTCAGCATCTGACAATGGATCAGAAGCTTCCTCCAGCTGACAGCATGACCACAGTGCAATCCCACCCCAATACTGTTGGACAAATCGGCTGTTCCCCGGGGACAAATGCTGCCAATGTGAATTGATCAATTTCTCTCGGCCTCTTTTCAGTCTGTGATAAATAACTGGTTCAACTCGACCTCTGCATTCATGAACCGAACTTCATGTGCTTTCCTATCAACAGTGATCGGCAGCGCCCTTTTACCACTGATGCTATAGAATGCCACTCCTGGCCCGGTGGACCCTGTTGCAGTGAATTTTGGCCAAGTCTATGGCCCACCTGAAAAGACTACAGTAACAAACTTAGCCATACCCCTAAAAGAAGTCCAATGGATTTTGTTAAAGCCAACACATTATTTAGCCCCTTGAATCAAAAGTGCACGATTTTCGTGCACAGCATACATGGACCGCAATAAATACGCATCTATAGCAGGGGTTCCCGAAGTGGGGGTCGCGAGACACCGAGTGGGGGTCGCGAGATGATTACAAAATAAAAATGGAAAATAAAAAATAAAAAAATAAAATAGATTTTTTTTTTTAACAATTACAAAAAATATATATTATTAATAGTAATGTTTGCATAGACATTTTCAGGGGCGGACTAGTCATCTGTATAATTTCCACGCAACGAGGCGAGTGCGGAAAACTGAAATTAATTCACTAGCCCCCCCTCCCCCGTCGACAGGGGGTCGCCACTGTTATTTTGGGGGTCGCGGGCTGAAAAGTTTGGGAACCCCTGATCTATAGTACATATTGTATTTTTCTTCGGAACTTTTTAAGAAATATAAATAAAATGTCACGCAATCAGGAATATTTACCATCTCAACTTAATTTCAAACTTGTTACACAACCTTGAGATCTCGCTGAGTAGAACAATAGTGTACTTTTTATTTTCTTCATCGATGTTATAATCTGCTGGAACATCTTGCCCTGCAACACAACTCTGGATAAGCGGTGGCAAATGTATGAATGGATGTTCCTAATTATATGAACACTTAAAAGGTCCCATGACATGGCCATGATCATAATGCCATTGTTGAGGTCTGGAATAGATTTACATTATTCAATGTTCCAAAATCGCATTGGTTTCTCATACAGCATCTCTGTATAGTATGTGTATCCACTCTCTGTCCTAAACAACTTGTTGAGCCCACTGTGCTGATTGGTCAGCTCGCCCACTCTGTTCTGATGAGTCCACCACCGTTACAGCGGAACATCAGTGATTATGTGTTACAATGGTGTTTGTTAGCAACCAGAAAATGACACCAGTAATGTCAAACAGATGAGAATGCTGCGTGGGGTCTGGGTGCCGTGTTGGCGGGACGTTGCGGGGCTCGCTGCTGGAGCGGACAGTGTGAGCTCGATTACTGGTATCTTTTCCTGGTTGCTGCGCGGGGTCTGCGAGACAGCGAGACACCGATACTCACCTGAACTCAGCCTGAGTTTCGTGGTGTCTCGCTGTCTCAGGCTGAGAAATCCACGGAGCAGCGGCTGAGAAAAGATAAGGCTGAGTGTGAGTGTGAGTGTGAGTGTGAGTGTGAGTGTGAGTGTGTGTGTGTGTGTGTGTGTGTGTGAGAGGAGCTCCACGGATTGTTCCATTTGGACCTGGGCATGGTTACGTCACCGTACTCCGGAAGAAAAAAATGGAAAAAGAAAAATCTCCAACGAGGCGTTCTGGGGCAGCCTAGACAGGTATTTTCTGTTTTAGAGTTGTACTCGCTACAGGGTTTACTTTGAGGGTTTGTGACTTTGCAAACCGTTTATATGCAGAAAAACCTTCATAACCAGGGGTGCACATAACTTTCTCAGTGAGGTACTCAGATGACCTGGAGTCAGTGTTTGGTACTCCAACTTCTGGCTCCACTCAAAGTTGGGGGGGGGGGCAAAAGTGGTAATTAAAGTTTAAATGTCTAAAAAATTCTACAACTAGGTGGGGCGCAACTTCCAACAGGAGTCATTTGGGGGGGCTCTTGGGAAAAAAGGTTGGGAACCCCTGCTTTAAAGAATAAACAATTACTATGATCCTGTAAACATACATGTTGCAAAACACTAGATGGAGGCATTAGGCTAAAATCAAATATATATCCTGCTTATAGAGCAAAAAATAAGCTAGCTGTGAATTCTCTAATCTTCTAAATACATGAACAAAATATCATGCGTTTTTTCAACATTTTTATTTTTTTTCAGACAATTTCAACTCGAGTACCTGAAAGCCACCTGAAAACAACTTTGACGTTAAAGCAGGATTAAATTAGCACAAACCAGATAATTAAAAAAAAAAAAAAAATTGGTTGGCAAAGTTAGCATCACACTTAAGTTCACAGCTTGTTAAATAGTTCATCCATTAAAATAAAATATAGATTTATTTTATATCAAACAATATACAGAAGACCACACCTCATGTTGTAGCAGAACACCCATTTAGGTTTGATAGTCCTAGACTAGTCAGACTAGCAGTAGGCAATAACATTTTAGTCCCCCCTAGTTCATAAGAAACATCATTTTAATGAAGGTGGAACAAAAATATATGTTGGTGTATAGACAGCTTCAGTTTTAAATACAGTTAGATGTTTGCAGGCACAGTAAGAGGCAGTGATTACTTCTCATTTTAAACAACACAGTGAAAAACACACACCTTCTTGTCCGATAGTTATATCTGAAGATACATACAGATATTGATTCTCATCCTTTATTCAAATTATATAAATTGCAGTCCCCAAGGGAAAAACTCAAGACGCTTTACGAAGATTAGGTAATGTTCCAATGTGAAGTTAACCATTCTATGCTGTTTTAGTATAAAGAGCAGAGTTAAAATGATATCCTTCAAGTGAATTGATAATACCTAAATGTTATAGTGTATCACCATGTCTTCATTTTGGTTATATAATATGCTGGTTCTCTTCATTTAGGTCCATTTACCTTATTTTACATAAAGATTAAAGTGCTTAAGAGAATGAAACTCAAGGATCTGCAAATAACAGTAGTTATCTTTTAAATATAGAATACGTTTTATAAATAGTGAAAATTAAATATAGATGTATTTGATAGAATTATAGTTTAAGGCATTTCTGAGATGATAAGGCAGAGTAATACCAGCTATTTGCCCGATTTAACTACTTGCTTCCCATTATTTGGTTTTTCCGGACGCTTGTAGTCTTCCAAAATGGCATGCGCCGTCTGCTTGCCCGTCTTTTTCACTATAGCTTTGATCCCAAGATTGTCAACGTTGAAGGCAGTGCGACCAACATTAATGGCAGAATTGACAGCGTTGTCTGTGGCTTGTCCTGCTGCTGCCCCGTACCTTCATCAGAAGTGAGATAGGGTGAGAGGTCACAGCCAGAGGCGAGAAACAGAGGATTTGAGAAGAATTAGTAAGCAGTGGAAGGATTGCAAAGATGCCATGCTGTTTGTGATTTGTTATGTGAGCATTACACCCATGCAAGTCAAAAATCTCCCTTTTTCTTTATTCTTTCCACAATATCGATATTTGTTTAAATGAATTAAGAAACCATTAAATGATAAAATAGCAAGATGGGAATGTTTGTTTTGGGTGCAGTTAATTAGATACCTTGCAAATTAAGTGTTTCACTTAAAATGAGACATTGTATAGCTAAAACACAACCCTACATTACGGTAAGATTTGAATTTAAGGCAGGACAGAAAAGTTGCAAATTGGGAAATGACCATTAGAAACATATTGAGGAATCAGTGAAAAGCAGCACCATCATGTGAATTGCCACACAGGCAGTGAATTAGAATAGCATCAATGATTTTATAAAGCTTTGAGCAACAGCCAATTCATTAAAAAAAGTTGTCTGAGTGATTAGTGGTGACACAAGTTGAATAGCTTCCTATAGTTAGGAAACATTTCACTTATTCTCTTTAGGTGGGTCAAAGATGGTTTTGTAGACCCCTAAATCTGCAAAGTAAATTTTAAAATAAAACAGTGAGTGCACGTTTGGTTTTGCATGTATGATGTAAGAGGTCAATTGCAACATGCACATCAAAAACCGGTTTAGAAAGCAGTGTTGTACAATTTGTTGGCATTGTTTGATATTAAAGCATGTGACAGTGTTGAGACATTTCATTTCAAATGGAAGGGAAAGCTTACTTGTGTTTCACGGTGGTGACGGTCTCTGATGCTACACTTGTAGTGATGTTTATTGCTGCTACTTCCAAACCAGTCCACATTGTCGCAAACCCTGAGTAAAACCACAAAGCACAATGCATGTTGGGCACATTTTATTACACATCTCTAAAAATGTCCTATTATGGATATCTCATGTAAATGCACTGTACCTTGCACTCCACTGGCAGCCACCACCATGGCTCCATCTATGTTAGAACGCCCGTCCTTGTCTTTCTTCATCGACTCTGGGATCAGCTTGCCTCCATGTTTTTTCACGTGTGGAGCCAACTCCCGCCCCACACAGCCAGCGACGGTGCAAACCCCGTCCACTGCAGCAACAAAGCATTACTCAATGAGATGTCCACAGAAGGTCAGTTTAATATGCTGATAGGGTATGACTAGTCACCTAGAAACTGGCTGACTTTGACAGCACCCCCTGTCGCTTGCTTGGCCACATGGAGGCCTTTGGAGACTGTGGGGCTGACGTTGGAGGGTCTGTCCTCCGGGGTGATGTGTTCCCGGAGTTTAGATGCCCCTTTGTGGATGGCCTGACCTGTGAACTCAGCTCCTTTCACCAGACCCCAGCTTAGCCAGGACGCACCTGAGAGAACCACAGGATCACACATGGCGAGTCAAAGAGTCCTAACTAATAGTGAACAAACAGAAGCATTAAAAGGTCTCCTATTATCAGGGGTGCACATAACTGGTACGCAGGTACGCATGCGCGGCAAAAATCTGAAATGTGTAACGTCACTTGTGTCACTAAGCGCCTTTGCGTACCTGATAGGTAATCAAAACTAAACACATATTTAGTCTACACGTGTTTCTTGTCAACACTCAATGGAGTAAATTATAAGACATGTCCAAAAAACAAAATACATTAAACAGCCACTTTGGCGTTTTGCTCCCTGCAAAAAATCTTCGGACTTTCTTTGACTGATTGAACTGGAGCTGGGCGAGCCGCGCAGGACATAACCGACGGACCTGTGAAGCTTTAAGGCCCTGACACACCAGGCCGAAATCGGCCGTTTTCGTTAGTAAGTGTGCCCTGTCGCCCAAACTCAATTTGGTGTGTCTCCCACCGTCGGCCGTGACACGCCTTATTTGGCCTTTCATGGCTGAC